TAAAAGACCACTAAGATTAGCAAGAATGAATAAGCCTGACAAAATTAAGCATTACCAAGCATTACCAAAGTGAATCTCTTATAGTGCTGGAGATGGTCCACTTTGGAAAGTAAGTTGAATGTGTACACAACCAATGACTTGGCATCGTTACTCCTAGAGAGATTCTCACATGCTCGTAAGAGACACGCACAGCAGTATTCAAGACAACATTGCTTGTGATAGCCAAAGCAAACAACAGAAAAACTACGAATGGTCCAAATATCTATAAGCAGTAGCATAAACATTGTAGTATATTCATTTACTAGTCATAAAATGAATAATTTTGAGATTAACATGAGTGAACCTCAAAAACATCAATACTGAGAGAATGTATAATGAAATGATATGCATAAAAATTCAAAAACAGGCAAAATAGTCTATTGGGTAGAGATACACACACAGTTGGGAAAACTGTGAAGAAGAACAAGTAAAAAATTATCACAAAAATCAGGATAGTGACCATTACGAGTAAGGCTATGTGATCAAGAAAGGGTACACAGAGGTCTTTTACTGGTGATGTTCTATATCCTAATCTGGCGCATGGTGTTGGTGTTACTGTTCTTTAAAATACACAATTACAAGTCATACACTTTCCTGTATTTATGATTTTTACAACAGAAAGAAATTAATGTCACATTTGCATTTAACTTTTGGTAATAAAATACTTTATTGGTACCGTTTAATGTCAAAAACATAGTAATGTTTACACTGCTCAACTTCCATATTTAAATTAAAAGCTTGTTTTAAAAAACAGGAGAAAAGAAAAAAAATCATTTGATTCTGTCAAAAAACAAGCCACAACTCACCTTTGCAAATAATTAGGTTCTCTCATTTTAAATACCCTAATTCACTGGTCTTTACAATAAATAACTATAAAAGGAGACGATGGCCTGAACAATTTTGCAGAGAATATTTTACACATCTTTAAAAACAAGCCTAAATGCTACCCCAACTTAAAACTTGTAAGAGTAATTAGTAAGAGTTATTGTAAAACT